CAAGGAGCCTCTAAGTCTGCCGGCCATCACACCAGTTTTTACCTGAAAACAAAGAACTGAGTGTCGGGTTTCTACATCGCTCTGACTTTCTTTGTGGAAGTGTGAAAGCAGAGCGGAGCTCAGATCTGATCCTGATCTCTGAAAACACCTGAACAGGACGCAGAGAAGACAACCTCAAACAGACTGTCAACATCATTAAACCACAAAAACACAAAGAAAACTTTCATTTGCTGCATAAAAATCAGCTGACATGAAAACACTTCCTTATCTGAGTTGCGATTTAATCCAAACTTTTCAACAAATGTGCAAAATGAACTTACAATGTGTTAAGTCCTGTTAGCATCCCCTAAAGGCTACAGAGTTAATTCCATCATGATGATTTATCTGTTGTCAGAAAATTGTCCTGATGGCGGCACTAGAGGAAAGATTCAATTCAATTCAATTCAATTTTATTTGTATAGCGCCAATTCATAACAGAAGTTATCTCAGGACACTTTTCAAATAGAGTAGGTCTAGACCAAACTCTGACCAAACCATGAGCAAGCACTTGGCGACAAGGGCAAGGAAAAACTGCCTGTTAAAAGGCAGAAACCTAGGACAGATCCTTCGGCTCTAGGTGGGTGGTCGTCTGTCTCGACCAGTTGGGGTGAGAGAGAGAGAGAGAGAGAGAGAGAGAGAGACAGACAGACAGACAGACAGACAGAAAGACAGGTGCACAGCAACAACAGTATTGGCAATGGCAATCTAGCAGGACCATGGCAGGACGCTCCACCAGGATCGATAAGAACCTGCGAGATGAGAAAGCACAAGAACTCCGGGGAAGAAGTGAAGTTAGTAACATGCATTAATGGAACATGAATGAGTGCAGAAAGAGAGAGGAAGAGAGGAGCTCAGTGCACCATGGGAAATCCCACGATAGTCTAGGCCTATAGCAGCATAACTAAGGGATGGTTCAGGGCTCACCTGATCCAGCCCTTACTATAAGCTTTATCAAAGAGGAATGTCTTAAGCCTACTTTTGAATGTGGAGAGGGTGTCTGCCTCCTGAACCACAACTGGAAGCTGGTTCCCTAGGAGAGGAGCTTGGTAACTGAAGGCTTTGGCTCCTGTTCTACTTTTAGAGACTATAGGAACCACAAGTAGCCCAGCATTCAGAGAACGTAGCGTTCTAGTGGGGTAATAGGGTACTATGAGCTCTTTAAGATATGAAGGGGCCTGACCATGAAGAGCTTTATAGGTGAGGAGGAGGATTTTAAATTCTATTCTACATTTTACGGGGAGCCAGTGCAGAGAAGCTAGTACAGTAGAGATGTGATCTCTTTTTCTAGTTCCTGTCAGTACTCGTGCTGCAGCGTTCTGAATTAATTGGAGCGTTTTAATGGACTTATTGGGGCAACCTGATAATAAAGAGTTGCAGTAATCCAGCCTTGAAGTAACAAATGCATAGATTAGTTTTTCTGCATCTGTCTGTGATAGGATGTGTCTAATCTTTGTAATATTACGTAAATGAAAGAAGGCGGTCGTGGAGGTCTGCTTTATGTGGGAGTTAAATGAAAAATACTGATCAAAGATAACTCGAAGATTCCTGACAGAGGTGCTAGAGGCCAAGGTAATGCCATCTAGAGTAACTATATCTTTAGACAGTGAGTCTCTAAGGTTTTTGGGGCCAAGTACTAGAATTTCGTTTTTTTCTGAGTTTAACATCAGAAAATTGCAGGTCATCCAGGATTTTATGTCCTTAAGACATGTTTGTAATTTAGATAATTGATTAATTTCATTGGGCTTGATTGATAGATATAACTGCGTATCATCTGCATAACAGTGAAAGTTAATGGAGTGATTCCTAATAATGTTGCCTAAAGGGAGCATATATAAAGTAAATAGTATTGGTCCAAGTACAGAACCTTGTGGAACTCCATGACTAACTGTAGTATTTATTTAAGATTCATCGTTAAGATGTACAAACTGCAAACGATCTGATAAGTATGACTTAAACCAGCTTAGTGCGGTTCCTTTAATGCCAATTTGATGCTCAAGTCTCTGTAAAAGAATATTATGGTCAATGGTGTCAAATGCAGCGCTAAGATCTAATAATACAAGTACAGAGACAAGTCCATTGTCTGAAGCAATCAAAAGGTCATTATTAACTTTAACCAGAGTTGTCTCTGTGCTATGATGAACTCTAAATCCTGGCTGAAAATCCTCAAATAAACTATTGTTATGTAGAAAGTCACACAACTCTTTGGCGACTACTTTCTCCAGAATCTTAGAGAGGAAGGGGAGGTTAGAGATCGGTCTATAGTTGACTAAAACCCCTGGGTCAAGAGTGGGCTTTTTAAGAAGGGGTTTAAATACAGCTACTTTAAAGGACTGTGGTACATATCCTGACAATAAAGAAAGATTAATCATATCCAGTGCCAATTAAGGGAACAACTTCTTTAAGCAGCCTAGTTGGGATCGCTAAAGAAGCTCATGAAGTCATTGCTACTTAAGTTTATGGGGATATGTGGCTCAATAGAGTTGTGACTCTGTCAGCCTGGCTACAGTGCTGAAGAGGAACCTAGGGTTATTCTTATTTTCTTCTATTAGTGCTGAGTAATAGGCTCCTCTGGCATTACGGAGGGCCTTTCTATAAATTTTAAGATTATCTTGCCAAATTGAGCGATATTCTGATAATTTGGAAGAGCGCCATTTCCTTTCAGATTTCCTAGCTATTTGCTTTAACTGGCGGGTTTGGTGGTTGTACCACAGTGCAATTCTCCTATGTTTTAATAATTTCCTTTTTATAGGAGCAGATAGACAACTGCTGTAGGAAGTTTTGCCTAATGGCTTATAATCTAATAGTATGAATTCAAAAGTTATTAAATAATAGTCAGATAGGAAAGGATTATGTGGGAAGACTATAAAATGTTCAATATCAATGCCATATGATAGAACAAGGTCAAGAGTGTGATTAAAACAATGAGTTGGTTTATTTACACTCTGACAGAAGCCAGTTGAGTCTATTAATGAGATAAATGCGTTACTGAGGCTGTCATTGTTAATATCCACAGGAATATTAAAATCACCTACAATAATTACTTTATCTGATTTAAGGACTAAACTTGATAAAAACTCAGAGAATTCAGATATAAAATCAGAGTACGGTCCAGGAGCGCGGTACACTATGAAATAGAACTGGCTGCAGTGTTTTCCAGTTTGGGTGAGAAAGACTAAGAACAAGGCTTTCAAATGAAATATAATTTATTTTAGGTTTAGGGTCCATTAAAACGCTTGAATCATATATGGCTGCTACTCCACCTCCTCGGCCTGTGCCTTGAGGAATGTGAGTATTAATATGACTGGGGGGGGGGGTGGATTCATTTAGGCTAACATACTCCTCGTGGGACAACCAGGTCTCAGTAAGACAAAGTAAATCAATATCATAGTCTGATATTAATTCATTCACTAAAACAGCTTTAGAGGACAGAGACCTGATATTTAACAGCCCACATTTCATTCTCTTATTTTGTGCTACTGAGGAGTTAGTTTTAATTTTTATTAGGTTTTTAATTTTAACTCCTCTTGTTTTTGTTTCTTTAAATAATTTAGGTGGTCGGGGGACAGACACAGTCTCTATGGGGTTTTGGGTGGGTGACTGTTCTAAAGAAAGAGCAGAGAAGTGTGTAAGACAGCAGCTCTGCTTCCTGGTCCCAACTCTGGACTGTCAGGTTTTAGAAATAAACTAAGCCATGTTGCTAGATAAGAGAGCCGCTCCATCCAAAGTGGGATGGATGCCGTCTCTCCTAATCAGACCAGGTTTTCCCCAAAAAGGCTGCCAATTATCTTTGAAGCCCACATCGTTTGCTGGACACCACCTCAACAGCCAGCGGTGGAATGACGACATGCGGCTATACATGTCATCACTGGTCACATTGGGCAGGGGTCCAGAGAAAACTACGGAGTCCGACATAGTTTTGGCATAGTTACACACCGACACCACATTCATTTTGGTGACCTCCAATGTGGATAACAATCTTACTATAATTACGTTTATCTTTAGCCAGCAGTTTTAAATAGGATTCAATGTTGCCTGCTCTGGCCCCAGGGATACATTTAACTATGGCCGCTGGCTTCGCTAACTTCACGTTTCTGACTGTGGAGCTGCCAATAATCAGAGTTGGTTCCTCAGCGGGTGTGTCGCTGAGTGGGGAAAATTTATTAGAAATTATATGAATGGGTTGGTGGTGAACTGTGGGCTTCTGCGTTTTATTCTTCCTCCGTTCAGTCACCCAGCCTCCCTGTTTTCCCAGCTGCTCGGGAACTACTGTGGGAACTACCGGGGGAACTACCGGGGGAACTACCGGAGGACGGCTAGCAGAAGCTACCTTCGGTCGGCCCGCACCGGCTACTGGGGGCTGGCTAACTATAGCGGCTAAAGATAACTGTGGTGCGGTACCGTTCCTCTAACTCACTAAGCCTCGCCTCCAGCGCAGTAAATAAACTACACTTAATACACGTACCATTATCAATAAAGGAGGCAGAGGAATAACTGAACATCTGACACACTGAGCAGGACAGAGGAGAGGGAGAGGAAGAAGCCATAGCTAACTGCTAATGCTAATGAAGCAAGCGTCAGTGAAAACCTTTGAAAATAGCGAAAAGTCGCTAAAAGGAGAAACTCCGAGTGCTTAGGTAGAACTAGTCTACGTTTACTCGTTAAGCTGGAAAATAACCGCTGTAACGAGTAAAACAAATTTAGATTTAGCGTTCACTGACAGAGCTACAGCACCAAACAGTGTACAGAGCAGGAAGTGAACCAGAAATGAGTCAGTACGCTTACCGTAGCACGTCACATCAATTCATGCTCAACCAGATCATGCTCCTTTGAGGTTTATCCTCTGAGGAGGTAAATCTGACCAGGTGCTTGCAAATCAATTTGTGGTCTGTTTGTTTTCAAAAAATAAGGACAATTAAAGGTGAAATGTTGACAGTTTATTTAATAATGAAGCTAGGAAAAACATCAAATAAATTATATAAAGTTGGCAGTAACATTTCTTTCTTTTTTTCTACAATGAAGAAACAACCAAAAACTTATAAAGTGTTCAATAATTTATACTAAAAATACTCACAGCTCATTAACTGACACTTTTAATCACAGTTTGTTTAAACTTCACTGTTGAGTGTCTTTGGCTTTCTTCTGATCGAAATCTCTGCCAGGAATGCAAAACATGTTATCAACATTCAACTTATTTCATAATAACACATAATAGATATAATATAATATATAATTATATTATTATTAATAATAATAATAATAATAATAATAATAATGATAATGTTTGGCTCCAGCAGCCAGTTGAACATGTTTTTTTCAAGTATCTCTACATCAGAGATTTTAACACAGGTTAAACCTTCAGTAAACAGTGGAACATATCAGAATGATCCTCTCACATTAGACTGCTCATCTCCAGCACCTCTGTGATTGTGGTTTGTTTCTCAGTGGATTTGTTATCTATGAAGTTTTAAAAAACGTTTTTAATTTAGCTTCCACTGCTGAAATACAGCTCTATGAGAGCTGACAATACGTCACATAGTTTGTTCTTGCCACATGAACATCCAATGAGTCGGATTGTACACTTCTTCTGTGTGCACCACTTGAGCCATGTTTTAACCAAACACAGTCAAACACTGTTGAAAACTGTACTTAACCCACCTAGCTGTACCTAAACCATAGATCTGGTTTGTGTTTCGACTGTAGACAGTACTCTTTATGTAGGTAGGGTAGGTACTGGGGCTTTAGGACTAATCCTCTTTACTTTTCCAGTATCTGGTAAACAGTGAGACTTTTCTTGGTCTTGTAATATATACTGTATGTTTGCCAGACTGACAACTTACCGCTAACTTTTTTCCTCCTCAATGCTCCATTCACTGTTACTTTTCTAATGCTCACTCTCTCTGACTCGCTCAACCACACACACATTATGCAAGCTATGTTTGAGGAAAGGCTACAAGACAAAAGACTGTTGCAAGAAACCAGAGAAAAAATGAATGGTATAAATGGGCTATCCTGCACAACTTTTGCTAAATGAAACACAAAAATAACTAACCCTATTCCAATATGTAACAAACTGAACTGGACTGGATCGGGGTGGGGTGGGCATGACTACTTAAGTAGTACAGCAGATTATAGTTGATCTGTGATCTGTATAGACGTCCCCCCTCAATTTGGCATTGTATGTGAACTGCAGAAAAGATTAAACCACCATAGTATAAAGTACAGTTGTTATTTTTTAAAGTAATAATTGCCTAAATGTTGATGGAGGGCTGGATCGAAAAGACCGACAAGCTGTTTTACACTGAAGTGCAATGATTGGAAGAATGACTGATTTAAAAACCATTGCTTGGTTAAATCCTGTAGGCTGGGACTTTGTCAGTGGTGTAACTGGGAAACTGGAAATGCTTGTTGTCGTTGAAATTGATCATTAGATTGTGATGTTTCAGTAATGTCTGCAGCCTTCCCCTCAATACTCAGCTCCACTCACTGAATCAGCTTCAGTCTCAGTCTGTCTGTGACAGACTATTACTCATGACCTGTAACTAATCAGTGAGTGCTGTGAGTTTTGTGACCCATTGCACTCCTAGACTGCTTGGTTGAAACACGGCTTTAGAAGCTCTGGCCTGCCCACCGGTAACATATGCACCCTCTGCATAGAAAATTATGAAAATTATCTTCATATGAGTCTGTCTTCTAACTCCAGACTCAACTACTCAGAATCAGGATCAATAAACACCTTTTCTTCTCCCTAACCCTAACTCAGGGAACCCAGAGGTCACTGCCAGAGTTTAATCAGCAGATCACCTTATAGTTTGGACAAACACGTCCATGTCCTCACAGTTTGGTTCAATTCCTATAAGGAGCTGTTGAGTTCAACCAACTCATGGTCGATTCAGGAAACAGGTTCATACTGCAGAAGCTTATGAAGGAACAGTTGAAGACACAAACTGGTCGAGTGACATCATAATACACTGTGAGGGAGAGGCTTCAACCAACCAGAGCACTGGTGTGGACAGCTGGGTCTATGTCTTCAAGCATCCCGAGGCAGATACAATACTGCTCTCTGCCAGTACTGGCTCAGCACCAGGAACTACACTGGTACAGTTGTACTAAACTGAGAGGGCATGGATGCATTATCCAGTATCCTGATTAAACACAAGCATGCATTAATCAACTATTGTGCTATTGTGACTGTTCAGATGAGAATATTAGTGAGTAGTGAGAATCAGCAGATGAAGATGAGCCGTTAAATAACTAGTATAAAGTTGCCACTTCAGGATAAATTCCTTATACTTGCATAAAGTGGATACTGATCTACACAGGTATGCAAATGTGTTCCAGTAAATATCTTTATAATTCAAATCCATTAAATTCATTCAGAAATTAGTTGGCTCATCTCCAGTTATTCATGTAGGGCAAAAGTTGACCTTTTTGACCGCTAAGTACTGTTTATAACTCAACTGAGCATGAATACAGCTACATTTATTTTTGCACTTTATAGATAACAGATCCACTTATAAATGAACCTCCACTTTCTAGAGACAACCTGACCCCTCCTTTTCTATAAGAAGAGACAAAAAGACAAAGCACACATATAAATGTCGACAGGTTACGTGTTGCATAGTATTGTCAGGCCATTCCAATGTGGAAAAAAGTCTCTCCCAATAAGAAACACAATGCTTCATCACTAAACATAAATACTTTATCTTTACTGGGAAAGTGCTGAACTGATGTTTTTCCTGCAGGAAACAGGAAGTGTTTCTAAAGTCTTTACAAATGTTTACGAGCAGCCACACTCCTCCACGATCATGTTCTGGATGTCTTTCTTGATGATCTTCTGCTCTTCGTTGTAGTAGAGCATCGACATTGCACGTAGCCTTGTCGGTACACAGCACGACTTGATGTTTTGAAATGGACTGTAACCCCTCATACGATAATGATTGATGACTGCTGAATGGAAGGAGAGTGATGAGCCGCTGATGCTCGCCATATGGTTCGGACAGTCGCCCTCACAGTAGTTGGCATGGTAACCGGATGGAGCGATAATCCAGTCGTTCCAGCCAATGTCTCTGAAGTTCACGTAAAACTGTCGTTTGCAGCAGACGTTTATTTTCCCGTCACACTCCAGACCTCGTTTGACTCTTCGTTGAGTCGCCTCCTCTCGAGCGCGCAGCACCACCATGAGGAACGGTCGGTGAGACTGATCTCGGCCTCCAGCTCGCTCTGCCTTGGCTGGCACCAGAATGGGCGAGGCTCCAGCCTCTGCACACATCAGGCAGGAAACCCGCAGCCTGAGCGAGCTGCGGCCACCATCAAGCAGAGTCTGAATGCTCTGAGAGACAGCGAGGGTGTGCCAGCCGCTGCGGCGAGTGTCCACCATCTTCTCTGAGACACACTCCTCCTCCTCCTCCTCTTTATTGTGATCTTCTTGATGAAGCTGCAGGAGCTGCAGCATCACTTTACCTTTCACTCGGTTTCCCTTCGACACCTTCAAGAAGATCCAGACATTCGCCTCCTCTACCACCGACAAGCTGTCACCCTCCTCCGAAATGGCAAACGTCACGGTGTTCAGAGAGTCACCTGTAGCAGAGAGCACAATAGCATGTTAGCAGGAATTAGCCACTTCCATCAATATAAACAGTGTTGGTAAACATTTACATTAATGCCATTAATGTGGATCAGTAAAAACAAAGACATCCCCTAACAGAAGGTCTCTACTGGTCTTTGTCTTGATTTCATCTGCTGAAAATTATTTTTTTATCAGGTTCTACTGTCATTATTTGTCTTCAGTGAAGTTATTAGTATGAAACAAAGTCAGACCTGATAAAAAACTATAAAGATCTTCAGGATTTAAGCTTTCAGTCATGAGAATAATAACATAATAATAATACTAAAATGTTTAATAAATGTTTGTGGAAACAGTTTGAAGACCGTTTTTTTTTTACCCGGTTTTCTTCTGAAGTGAATAATTATCAACATAAAGACACTGTGACCCTGCTGTCTGAACTGCCCCCCTTCGGTTTTTGTCTTTCTGTCAATTGAATGAATGAACACAGAAAATGTCATTAATAATAAAAGCTTGAATGGAAGCCGCTGCCTCTAAATATACTCAATATGAGCAGAGACACTAAAAAAAGAAAAGGCCTGGTTTCAGGGAATGCTGTTAACAAGCCCCCCCCCCCACACACACACACACACACAGACTTTGTCTCTGCTGCAGAATAATTACTGAGGCCCAGATTTGTCTGAATGAGGAGATTATTTACGGCCTGAGACCACTCGGTATGCCCCCCCCCATTACTGTCCTCTAATTCTGAGCCTTTGAGGGACATTTTTAATTAAAGATTCCTCTCAAAGAGGACTATTTATAGCACAAAGACATTCTGTACATTTATGTAAGCAAACAAATGACAAGACAATGTGATCTGTCACGAGCTGGTTCACGTTCACAGAGAACTTCACCAATATATTTAATAACTGAATTGAAGAAATTATTTTTGTTGCGCTTGAGTTCAAATGAAACGTTTGATTCATTAGACCGTAACTGACCCAATAGAATAGTATTAGACTTTAGCTTGCTTATGTCCAAACATGTAATCGGTTCTGTAAATGACTTCATATATTAGGAATAGTTTGACCTCCTTCAGTGTGTCTAGACTTCAAACTTCCCTTCAGTATTTATTATTGATCAGAGTTAACACCCAGAGGTCAGGCTGTCCTCCAATATGATCTTAAATCAGATTTAATCTGATCAAAACTTCCATCTTATTCTATTGATAGTTCTCAATTTAAAAGGTCTTAAAGCACGGCCTGACAGTGCCCGTAGTACTCGGGTCTGGTCTCGGACATGGCCGTTGGTCTAGCCAAATATTCTAGATGGTATTGAGTCAATGTTTTTTTTCCTGCAGTAACTTCCTCCTTCAAAATAAAAACATTGATGAAACAGTTTGTTCAGAAAACAGGTATTGGTTTAATTCAAAATCCATTGAGAATAGGCATTGACATTGGCCGCCTGCTAACCAAGGGTTACTTGGTGGGCTAACAACATTGCTTGCAATCATATTTCTGGTAGCGAAAACTCATCTCATGGGCAAAAGCATCCATTTTACTGGTCTTTTTTTTATTACAAGTTTTTATTGGTTTTCAACAGAAACACAAGTTATAAATTTTGCCATCATGTATTTTACCGGTCTTGACTTACTCTCACTTGGACTCAATCTTGACATAGGCTCGAGCCTCTTTGGACATGGTGTTGACTTGGTGTTGAATAGTACTGGTCTTGGACTTGTCTTGGACTAGATGAAAGGGTTTGTTTTGCTTTACTACTGAAGAGGAGACTGTACTGATCTGTAATAAGTCAACTAACTGTAGAATTTATGTCTGATCGTTTTTTGTTTGACGTTCAGTTTGGGGTTCAACCTAATTCAACTTTGGTCAGAACCTCATCCAGCAAGATGCTGCAATTTAATTACACTTAACTGGTAGACGACTTTGTACACTATATTTCTACTGTTTATCTCAAGATCATCACAATAATTTTTTTTATATTTGTCTCTGTAAAAAAAAAAAGATTCTTTTTAATCTCTGTGCAGTGTTTCTAAACCCTGAGACACACTGGAAAAACACTCAGAGCCCTGAGAAAGAATTCAGTCTGTAGTTTTACACTGAGAATAACTTTTCTACTTAAATCATTTTGGGTGTTACCGAGAAGACAAAGCTTACTGAGTCTTTCTTCGTCCTTTTACGTGTTGTCTTCACTGATATAAATTTGCTTAATCAAGTAGAGAAGAAATCACACAGCTGCAACTACCAATCAGTACTCGGTGTTAAACCAGCAGGTTCATTTATGATGCTGTAAACCACAAACACACAAATATACATCCAGCTGCAGTGTATCTAAGTATGACTGGATAAATCAATGAATGACGCAACAGAGCTTAAACTTTTATCTTCCTTTTTTCCTTGCTTTTCTTGGTCTGTGCAGCTCCTAATTTCATCTGTGTGTAATTCATCACCAGATTTACAATGTGACGGAAAATAGAGAAAATAGAACTAAAAGACAGACTTCGTTCAGAGTGAGTGGAATTAATATACAATCAGTCAGTGTGGCTGCTGATAAATCCTTACTGTGGAAATCTTTAAACAAACTTTGAACTTTTTCCGTGCAGCTGATGGTCATTAAACCTCAGTAGAAGGGGAGCCCATTGACTTTATGAGAGGAGATATACAGATAGTATCTAGGCAGGAACAGGTTTATCAGGCTGTATGTAGATGAACAGCTCTGACAGGTTCATGTGTGTTTTACCCAAAATCTGTCTTGGCAGGAGAGTGTAACTATGTAACTCTATGACTGTAAATGTGCAACTCTGTGACTATAAATGTGCACCTCTGTAACTTTAATTCTGTCTGTTAATGTGCAACTCTGTAACTCTGTAACTGTCAATGTGCAACTCTGTAACTCTGTGACTGTAAATGTGCAACTCTATAACTTTGTGACTCTAACTCTGAATGTAAATGTGCAACTATAAATACAACTATAAATATGTAACTCTGTAATTCTGTAACTGTACATTTAAGTCTGCGCTGCTATGCACGCTGGTGAAACTGAAACTTAAACTGACGTTTCTGACTGACTCACCTGGCTCTGCAAAGGTGATGATTTCAGATGGTGGTTCAGGTGGTGTGGGGGCCCCGGGACCCTGGCCCTCCTCCTGGATCTCTATACTGCCATCTTCTGCCACGCGGCCAACATGCAGCTTCTTGATGGCGTTGAGCAGCGCAGCGCGTGGGACCGGCTGCGTCAAGTTGGGCCGAGCACTCAGGTGCAGCATGTTGAGAATGTGACGCTTCACTGCCTCCACCATGTCAGTCTGTCCTCCTGACAAGGACGAGTTCCTTCTCATCTGAGACAAAGAGCAGGATGGACAGTCTGAGGACAGCGGCCCCTCCTGGAGCTGAGATGCCACATATACCTCTGGAGCTGGAGAGACTGTTGGAGAGGCGTCAACAAGAAGACTGGTGGCCATGAAGAAGAACATGACAAACAGAGAGGACATGATGGGTTCTGGCTGAAACTGTTCCAGTAGAATCAGTATATTTGGTAGAGACGGTAGAGTCGGTCTGTCTCTGCAGGGCAGGCACTCAGTAGTGAACAGTTCAATATCCTTCAGATTAAGTCCCCACAGTCTCTCTGGTGTCTTTTGAGGAGATCCAACAGAAAGTAAAAGTTCTCACTGAGGAGCAGGTTGGTGTTCTTGTCCTCAGTCTGGTCTTTGAATCTGGTCCCAATAAGCTTCAGGTCTAGTCCTGATATATCTGGTCCTGATGGTTATAGTCCTCCGTGGTCCTGATGGTTTGGTGGTCTGAGCTGAATGAACACTGTGTGCAGGGTCACTCTACTCTCCCTCTCTGTTCTGTTACTGTAATTATACCTCTCTCTGTTTAATCCCTCCCTCCATCCACAGAGGTATTTCCCTCTGAGTCACACACACACACACTCACACACACACACACACACACACACACACACACTGTGAGTAGTCTCTGAGAATATCTCAGGACTGTTTGTGGTGTTTCCTCCTGAATCAACGTCACGACAGAAGAGGAGGAGGAAGAAGGGAAGAGGAGGAAGAGAGAGTGTCCCTGATTCATTCATACCACACACACACACACACACACACACACACACACACACACAAACATACTGATGACTCAGCGCAGCGTCATCATCACCTCACGTGGAGGAGAAAGTTGGTCGGTGTGAAATAAATTTTTAGACTTTGTTGTTATAATCAGAGAGCTGCACACAGCAGATGGAGCACGCTCAGAACAGACTGTCACACACTGTGACATCAGCACGCCCTCTGCTGGTGGGAGTCAGGTGTTACAGCATCCTCCTCACCTGAGCCTGTCCTCTGACTCACATTTGGTCTTCCTGTCTGTCCCCGTAACATGAAGCTGCAAACTGGTTCCCATAAAACGCTCCAATTAATTCAGAACGCTGCAGCACAAGTACTGACAGGAACTAGAAAAAGAGATCACATCTCTCCTGTACTAGCTTCTCTGCATTGGCTCCCTGTAAAATGTAGAATAGAATTTAAAATCCTCCTCCTCACCTATAAAGCTCTTCATGGTCAGGCCCCTTCATATCTTAAAGAGCTCATAGAACCCTATTACCCCTCTAGAACACTACGTTCTTTGAATGCTGGGCTACTTGTGGTTCCTATAGTCTCTAAAAGTAGAACAGGAGCCAGAGCCTTCAGTTACCAAGCTCCTCTCCTATGGAACCAGCTTCCAGTTGTGGTTCGGGAGGCAGACACCCTCACCACATTTAAGAGTAGGCTTAAGACATTCCTCTTTGATAAAGCTTATAGTTAGGGCTGGATCAGGTGAGTCCTGAACCATCCCTTAGTTCTGCTGCTATAGGCCTAGACTATCGGGGGATTTCCCATGGTGCACTGAGCTCCTCCCTTCCTCTCTCTTTCTGCACTCATTCATGTCTCATTAATGCATGTTACTAAATTCACTTCTTCCCTGGAGTTCTTGTGCTTTCTCGTCTCGCAGGTTCTTGTCGATCCTGGTGGAGCCTCCTGCCATGGTCCTGCTAGATTGCCATTTCCAATACTGCTGTTGCTGTGCACCTGTCTGTCTCTCTCTCACTCTCTCTCTCTCTCTCTCTCTGCCTCTCTCTCTCTCTCACCCCAACTGGTTGAGACAGACGACCACCCACCTAGAGCCGGAGGATCTGTCCTAGGTTTCTGCCTTTTAACAGGCAGTTTTTCCTTGCCCTTGTCGCCAAGTGCTTGCTCATGGTGGTACTGTTGGGTCTCTGTAATTAATGTTTTAAAGAGTTCGGTCTAGACCTGCTCTATTTGAAAAGTGTCCTGAGATAACTTCTGTTATGAATTGGCGCTATACAAATAAAATTGAATTGAATTGAATTGAATTGAATTATGACAAAATGCTGCAGTCAGACTGCAGGGGCCCTTCCAGATGTTTATGGAAATACAAGATGAAATAATTTATGAATTTATATAAATTCAGTTGTTTTCTTCATAGTAACTACATTTAAACTACTTTGAACCGTTTTTTTATCTTGACCTCTCAGTATTTGTTGTTTAATTGTGTTTGTATTCCTTTCCTTCAGACTCTACACAAAAGACCCATCACATCTTTTTATCACTATGGTCCTTGTCTCTGGAACAGCCTTCCTGAGGACCTGAGGGCAGCACAGAGTGTTGACACATATAATAGTAAACTCAAGACTTACCTTTTTAGTCTGACTTTATTTGATTTTTATTTACTTTTGACTTTCTATTTACACCGATCAGCCATAATATTATGAGCACTGACAGGTGAAGTGAAAATCTCAGTGGGGTGAATATATCAGGCAGTAAGTGAACATTTTGTCCTCAGAGTTGATGTGTTAGAAGCAAAAAGAAGACGATATTAAAACATAGGAGACTAGCACCGTGGTATAATTAGCAAACCTGCCAATTAAAGCAAAAAGCATGGAAATTTGAAAGGAAATGGTGTTCTTCCAAACTATTAGAATCACGTTCAATCTGGCAAGATAGTCTTAAAATATATAGAAAGGCCCTCCGTAATGCCAGAGCAGCCTATTATTCAGCACAAATAGAAGAAAATAAGAACAACCCCAGGTTCCTCTTCAGCACTGTAGCCAGGCTGACAGAGAGTCACAGCTCTATTGAGCCATGTATCCCCATAAGCCTCAGCAGTAACGACTTTATGAGCTTCTTTTATGATAAAATTATTACTATTAGAGACAAAATGAATCACCAACTGCCCTCAACAGTTAACACTGTCAATAGAACTGTAAACACAGTTATATATTTAGGCTGCTTTTCTACAATCAATCTGCATCAGTTAACTTCAATTATTTCTTAATAATTTCTCATCCTTAGTCTGCCCCTTTCAGTGGATGTAATCAATCTTTATTTATTTCCAGGCTCTGTACCACAGTCCTTTAAAGTAGCTGTAATTAAATCCCTTCTTAAAAAGTCCACTCTCGACCCAGGGGTTTTAGCCAACTATAGACCGATTTCTAACCTCCCCTTCCTCTCTAAGATTCTGGAGAAAGTAGTCGCCAAGCAGTTGTGTGACTTTCTAGATATCAATAGCTTATTTGAGGATTTTCAGTCAGGATTTAGAGTTCATCACAACACAGAGACAGATCTGGTTAAAGTTAATAATGACCTTTTAATTGCTTCTGTTTTGTTAGATCTTAGTGCTGTCTTTGACATCATTGACCATCATATTCTATTACAGAGACTTGAGCATCTAATTGGCATTAAAGGAACTGCACTAAGCTAGTTAAAGTCCTATTTACCAGATCATTCTCAGTTTGTACATGTTAACGATGAATCCTCAATAAACACTATTCAATTATTCAATTCAATTTTATTTGTATAACACCAATTCATAACAGAAGTTATCTCAGGACACTTGTCAAAGAGAGCAGGTCTAGACCGAACTCCTTATAACATTATTTACAGAGACCCAAGGGTTCCCACCATGAACAAGACCTTAGAGACAGCCGCAAGGAAGCTGGTTCCACAGGAAAGGAGCTTGGTAACTCTAAAGTCAGTCTGATCCAATGGATCCAACGGATTGGACCACACAGGAGCTACTAAAGCTCAAATTGCTGAAAAAGTTAATGCTGGTTCTGACAGAAAGGTGTCAGAACACACAATGCATCGCAGTTTGTTGCGTATCGGGCTGCATAACATTATGACTACCAGCAAGTACAGAGACAAGTCCATTGTATAAAGCAATTAAAAGGCTGTTAGTATCTTTCACCAGTGCTGTCTTTGTGCTGTGATGAACTCTAAGTCCTGACTGAAAGTCCTCAAGATAAGATAATAAGATGTAAGATGTACCTTGATTGATTAAAGTAGCTGTAATTAAACCCCTTCTTAAAAAGCCCACTCTTGACCCAGGGGTTTTAGCCAACTATAGACCAATCTCTAACCTCCCCTTCCTCTCTAAGATTCTGGAGAAAGTAGTCGCTAAAGAGTTGTGTGACTTTTTACATAACAATAGTTTATTTGAGGATTTTCAGTCAGGATTTAGAGTTCATCACAGCACAGAGACAGCTCTGGTTAAAGTTAATAATGACCTTTTGATTGCTTCTGACAATGGACTTGTCCCTGTACTTGTATTATTGGATCTTAGTGCTGCGTTTGACACCATTGACCATAATATCCTTTTACAGAGACTTGAGCATCAAATTGGCATTAAAGGAACCACACTAAGCTGGTTTAAGTCATATTTATCAGATCATTCGCAGTTTGTATGTGTTAACGATGAATCCTCCATAAATAATACAGTTAGTCATGGAGTTCCACAAGGTTCTGTACTTGGACCAATACTTTTTACTTTATACATGCTCCCTTTAGGCAACATTATTCAGAATCACTCCATTAACTTTCACTGTTATGCAGATGATACGCAGTTATATCTATCAATCAAGCCCAATGAAATTAATCAATTATCTAAATTACAAACATGTCTTAAGGACATAAAATCCTGGATGAGCTGCAATTTTCTGATGTTAAAAAATAAATTCTAGTACTTGGCCCCAAAAATCTTAGAGACTCACTGTCTAAAGATATAGTTACTCTAGATGGCATTACCTTTGCCTCTAGCACCACTGTCAGGAATCTTGGAGTTATCTTTGATCAGGATTTGTCATTTAATTCCCACATGAAGCAGACTTCCAGGACTGCCTTCTTTCATTTACGTAATATTACAAAAATTAGACACATCCTATCACAGACAGATGCAGAAAAACTAATCCATGCATTTGTTACTTCTTGGCTGGATTACTGCAACTCTTTATTATCAGGTTGCCAGTCCATTAAAACGCTCCAATTAATTCAAAACGCTGCAGCACAAGTACTGACAGGAACTAGAAAAAGAGATCACATCTCTCCTGTACTAGCTTCTCTGCACTGGCTCCCTGTAAAATTTGGAATAGAATTTAAAATTCTCCTCCTTACCTATAAAGCTCTTCATGGTCAGGCCCCTTCATATCTTAAAGAGCTCATAATACCCTATTACCCCTCTAGAACACTACGTTCTCTGAATGCTGGGCTACTTGTGGTTCCCATAGTCTCTAAAAGTAGAACAGGAGCCAGAGCCTTCAGTTACCAAGCTCCTCTCCTGTGGAACCAGCTTCCAGTTGTGGTTCGAGAGGCAGACACCCTCACCACATTCAAGAGTAGGCTTAAGACATTCCTCTTTGATAAAGCTTATAGTTAGGGCTGGATCAGGTGAGTCCTGAACCATCCCTTAGTTATGCTGCTATAGGCCTAGACTATCGGGGGATTTCCCATGGTGCACTGAGCTCTTCTCTTCCTCTCCCTTTCTGCACTCATTCATGTCCCATTAATGC